AGGGGCATGATCCAGATCAAACTAATTTTGGCACAAGACAGAAGTGAGTTGGTTGTGAAAAGCATACCAAGGATAAAGTGAAGGTGCTTTTTGTTCCCTCAACTACTGTACTTGGGTATCCAGGGGTTGTGACTGCAGCTACTGGTAGTGATAAGTATTTCCAACCTCATTAGCATGAAGATGATTATCTCCTCTTTAGATGCAGCTTTTGCCAAAGGTATTGCTGTCTTGTGACTTGTTCCTTGAATTCCATAGAGTTGACTGTGTTGCCATGGGACATTAGAGGTGAAAGGGACATTAGAGATTTCAAATTTTTATAGTGGTAAGGACACTGAATTTGGAGTTGGAAGGACATGGGTTTGAATGCTGATTCTGCTATTTATTACTTTAGTGTTTTGGGCAAATCAGTTTGCCCCTCTGAGTCTCAGGTTGGATTGTAGGACCTCTAAGGTGCCTCCCAGCTCTAAATACCACTATCCTGTGCTTTGGTATTTGCAGATCAGCTGGTCCAAATCCCTTCAGGAAGGAACAGAGGTCCAGAGAGGCAAGGGTACTTGCCCTAGGTACCCCCACCACCACCACCACCATCACATACACAGATAGCCAGGACTGGAAAACCAGTCCTCCTGACCCTGTCTGATTCTCTTTCTGTTACATTTGTTGCTTCTTCTGTTCCTTGGAGACCATCCAAAATCTTACCCAACATAGTACTCTTGTCTTTCAACTTTGACTGCATAGGGCATGTTTGTGGATACTATCTAACCATCCTAGATTTCTTGGGACTCTGTTGATTCCAAAAAACGAAAGTTTTTTCACAAGTTTTTCACAAGACATTTTAAAAGGCATGTCCTCTTTCCAAATAGAGGTCCCAATTTAGGGTTCAAAAATTATGGTCCCCAAATGCACCGTAGCAGCTGTATAACCTTTGCACCAGCTCTCTTTGTTTGAAGACAATTTAAGGTGTTGGTCTTGTAGCCCCTGCATGGTTTAGTTACCACAGGCGGTCATCTCCTTTCCTATGCAGCATCTTGGCAGTTGAGATTGGCTGATTACAGATAGGACCCTAAGTTTGAACTTCAAGGAAATAGAGATCATATTGTTAATGAGGGCCCCACTGGAAATCATTCCACTGAATGTTTTTCCAGTGTCAAATTTGCTAGCCTTTTAGGCCAGTTGCAGAGGTTTGGGTTTCTCATAGACTAATAGAATGCTAGAGCTGGAAGGGACATTCAAGACCTTCTAATGTCCAACCCCTTTCTTTTACTGGGACCCCTCATAGAGGAGAAGTGACTTGTTCAAAGCCATATAGTGGGTTAATAGCACAGTGAGGACTCCAAGGGCTCTTTCTCCCAGCCCAGGCTTCCTCTCACCATACCCTGTAAGGGCTCTTCTCTCCCAGCCTAGGCTTCCTTTCACCATACCCTGTAAGGGCTCTTCTCTCCCAGCCCAGGCTTCTGCTTACCATACTCTGTAACCTCTCACCATCACACTACCATGCTCTTGCCTAGAAATGATAATAGGTTTAGATTTGGAGGGGACCTTGGAGACCATCCCATTCCAACCTCCTCATTTACTAGAGGAAGAAATTTAGGCTTAGAAAATGAAAGTTAGTAGTGTCTTGAGGGGTAGTATAAACTGTTAGACAAGCATAGTGTTTGAATGTTTTCACTGTGATGATAGGTTACAGATCAGGTTTGTGAAAATCCATTCAAAGATATGTGACGTCCATGGTATACAATTGAAATAAGAAGAGCTTATTACTAATAATAATTCACATCTGTGCTTGTGGTTGCATATGCTTTTTCACATCATCTTGTCTGATCCTCATAACATTCCTTGGAGGCAGGCAGTGTAAAACATTGCCATCGTGCAAATGAGGAAACTGAAGGCCAGAGGAGTCAAGTGATTGCTCCATGTCACCCAGCTAGTTAAGTGATGGCATCAGGACTAGAATCCAGGCCTCCAGAACTTTTTCCACAATAGCACTGTTGTTTCTATGGGACAGCTAGGTGGTTCAGTGGATAGAGAGTCAGGCCTGGGGTCAAAAAAACTCATCTTCCTGAGTTCAAATCTGGCTTTAGACACTTACTAGCTGCGTGACCCTGGGCAAGTCACTTCACCCTGTTTGCCTCAGTTTCCTCAACTGTAAAATAAGCTGGAGAAGGAAATGGCAAACCGCTCTCTATCTTTGTCAAGAAAACCCCGAATGCGGTCACGAAGAGTCAGACATGTCTGCAAAATGACTGAACAACAAAAATTGTTGCTCCTCTAAAGATAGATTCTGTGATTTCATGTGCATAAGCTAAATGCTATTCAGTGACTAGTCTTTGAAGTGGGGCCAGATTCAAATGGGAGGCACCTACACTGCTGGAGAGACGGTGGGATGGTGGGTCGCTATCTGAATACAGATTGTGCACACCATGCAGTTCAGAGAGCCCTGCTCTAGGTCCAAGGTGTTCAGCTGTGAGCTCCTCTCACCCCACTTTGGCCACATCTTTTCTCTCCTAGGTGCTGAGGATTGCAGAATCAGAGCTCCAGACCTACAAGGGACCTCAGAGGCTCTCAAGGCAAACCCTAGGGAAGACAGCACAGTACATTGGAAAGAGTATTGACGGTGGAGTCAGGGGATCTGAGTTCAAATTCTACCTTCGGTGATAACTGTATGACCTTGGGGAAGACCATCCTCTTACCTGTGGGCTTCAGGTTCCTTGTCTGTAAAATGATAGTGGTGTTGGACTACACCAGACAGTCTCTGAGTTCCTTTCTAGCTTTGGATCTGGGAAAATCACAAAGGGAGTAAGTGTCACAAGGATAATTTGGACTCAAGTTCTGTGACTCCATAGCTGGTACTGTTTGGTCTGAGCCCAGATCTGAACTCAGGTCCTCCTGACTTCAGGGCTGGTGCTCTATCCACTGTACCACCTAGCTGCCCCATATTTATTTATTTTTGCTTTTTTTGGGGGGTGGGGTAAGGCAATCAGGGTTAAGTGACTTGCCCAGGGTCACACAGCTAGTAAGTGTCATGTGTCTGAGACCAGATTTGAACTCAGGTCCCCTTGACTCTGAGGCTGGAGCTCTATCCACTGTGCCACCTAGCTGCCCCTTAGCCCTGTCACTTACTAGTTTTATCCTAAATATGGCTTGGGGGAAGTATTTCCCTTCTATGGGGTTCAGTTTCTTCATCTGTTAAATGAGGGTTTTAGATTAAATGATCTCCAAGGTTCCTTCCAGTCCTGTTCTATGCTTTCTCTCCATAGAAGGACAGCATGGTATGAGGGAGAAAGGTTTGGGTGTGGAGCCAGAGACACCTAGATTCAAATCAATACTGTTACATTAACTGTGACCTTCAGAGAGCCTATGCATCTGTAAAGTGGGAATAATAATCCTTACATGATTCTTGCAAAGAATAAACTAGTCGGGGAGGGCAATATTTTAAAATAAAATCTAAGTTTTGTTTTAAATGAGTGCCCTGCGACAACATGATGGGGTTGTGGAAGGAGCACTAGCCTGAGAGTCAGAAAATCCCTGTGACTTTATTCTCTTTGCATCTTAGATTCTTCATCTGTACAATGGGTATAATTGCACGTGACTGGCCTCCCTCCCTCATAGAGCGAATGAACATAAAAGTGATCTGTGTCTGTGTATCTTTATCTATGAAAGATAATGTTATTATTAGCACCGTCATCATCAGTTATAGAGTTGCTCAGAACAAAAATCATCTAAGAGATTTTCATGTTTCGATATAATTAGAAAACCTACTTTTTTTTTCTCTCTTCTTTCTCAAGTCCTCTCCAGTTTGAACCCCTTCCATTCTCTCCCAGACCTACTTACCCCTAGCAGACCGACCCACTCTAAAGGTTTCCTGGGGAGGAAGACAGGGATGATGTGTACCTGTGCATGTGTTACAAATACCTATGTGTCTGTGCCTGTGTGTGTGTGTATGTGTGTGTACATGTGTGACCTATATATGTTTACTGTATCATTTATGAATATAGTTTAAGTAACTGGTTTTACCTCCTGCAAAGGAACTGTTCCTTCCTGGATTCTGGCCCCATCTGCCACAAATCAATTTCTTTTGCATCTCTCAGTCCCCAACCGTCCTCAAAGTTCCGATTTTATGTGAGGAGGGAGCCTTGGTATTGAAAGATGCCTTCTCTATCTTGGCACACCTTGCCAGTACCAGCTGACACCACAAGAATGATCCTGATAAGAGGCTCATAGTGGCCGTGCTTTCCCTATCCCTCCTTGGCCCCCCCCCCACGTGGCCTAATAACAGGCTGTTATTACCTACATCTTCACACACAAAGAGCCCTGGTGAGGCTGCTGGCATTCAGCTGCTTTGGTGGGGGCGGGGGGTATGAGGGTTGGGTGAATGAGGTTGTGGAGGTAGCTTTTCAGAAAGGCCAGTGTGGAGGCACCCAGGTGATTTGAGCTCCTTTCCCTAGTGCCCCCATCCTGGGACTGCTGTAAAAGGTTCCTACTAATTGGCATGAGCCTGGTGGGGTTGCATCCTTCCAACCACCTCTCCCTCCTTTTCCCTACCTCACTCCCCTAGGGACTTCTGGGATGGTCTTGGCACAGTATGCAACTCCAGACCTATCTCTCTTTCCCCCGCCCTTCTTCCTCTCCTCCCCCCCAAACCCCCTCCACTAAGTCTGGTACAATATGTCTTAAATCATGGAAAATGTCATTTCTTAAATTTGGGGCCCAGAATCTGTCCCTGTCCTGTTTTTCCAAGCCCATTGTTGCTGGTAGATTTTACTATCAGCAGCTGCAGCCACCCTAGCTCTGATATCAGTCTCCTTGGAGCAGTGTTTAATTTATACCCCTCACTGCACCTCCCCCTCCCCTTTTCTGCCCCCCTAGACCCAGCTCTTCAAGGCATTTCAGGGCTGGAGAACTATGCCTGTCCCTCCCTCCAACCATAATAGCCTCAGGCCCATCTCATCACCCTTGTCACCCATCCCTGATACTAACTCAGCTTGCCCACACTGTTGTAGGGGGCAGATGGACTGTCGGAGCCTGAGGGCATCTCTCTGAAACGGGTAGCTGTGGTGGAAGATTTCTTTGACATCATCTACTCCATGCATGTGGAGAGCTCTGCAGAGCCAGGCAAAACCCCCAAGCATGCTGGGCAGAAGAAAACCTACCGAGCGGTGAGATTTTGCTTCCTTGCCTTCTCTCAAAGCTTCAGGCCACAGACTCGGCCTCAGGCAGGAGGGATCTGATGCAGAATGAGATGGCCCCTCAGCAGAACAGGGAGCATGCGGGCAAGGGCACAGAGGGCATCAAGAGGTTCAAAAAATAGGAGGGGGATGGGAATAGAAACTGTGGTCTAAACACTGGGGAGATCACCAGACTGGCTTGGTGTGTGACCCAGGGCATGTCACTCCTCCTTTTGGGACAGAAACCTCTATTTTTTCTTCTAAAAAATGAAGGTCAGAATAATCCAAGCTGAGCCACTTGTGACCTGTGTGACCTTGGGCAATTACTTTCCCTTTTTGAGCCTCAATTTCCTCCTCTATAAAATGAGGATTAAGAAAATTCTATCTGTTCTGGGCAATTGAGGCTCATGGATTTAGAATTAGAAGTGTCTGTAGACACCATTTAGTCTAATCCCTTCATTTTATAAATGAGGGAATTGAGGCCCAGAGAGGTTTAGTGACTCGTCCAGGGTCATGGAGGTAAATGACAGTGGTAGGATTTGAACCCAGATCCTCAATATCCTTGCCATTGAACCACACTGCCCTTTTGGCTACTCAGTATCAGTGTGATGTTGGGCTATTTAGTTCTCCTGTCTTGGCCTCAGTGTTGTCTATAAAAGGAGGACCGAATGACCTCCAAGGCTATATACTGTCATTACTTTCCCCGTCAATCAGATAGTTTCTCTTCTGGGTTAGACACTAACTCCATAATTCAGAGTGATTGTGCAGTAGAAGAAAAATACCTAAACTCACCAAGGCCTCATATATATCTTCCTAGGTCAGCATACTCTGCAGATGCTGTGCCCAGCACTCTTCTAGGCACTACAGGGGTAATAGAAGCTTTCAAACTCAGTTTATTTGGAGAGACAAGTATACACCAAACAATAGCACACAATACAAAACATTATGCTAAACTGATTGGCATAAGTTATTAGTGGTGGAAGATTTCAGAGAGGGAGGCCATTGAGGGCTAAAGTAGTCAGGGAAGACTTCATGGAGGAAGTGGGACTTCAGTTGGAGCTGGAAAGGCAGATAGGATTATATTATGATAGCTGATTTTTGGTGAGGGATCATGGGAGGTCAAACAGGTGCAGGGTCGGAAAATCTGGGTCAAAATCCTGGCTCTGTCCTTTAATTGCTGTGCAAGCTTGGGTAAGTCTTTTCTGAGCTTCGGTCACAGCATTTATAAATTGGGGATAATCAAACTTGCTGTGCAAACTTCATGAGGCTTTGAGATCGCTCGATAGATGTAAAGCACATCAAAACTGCAATGTGCTACGCAAATGTGAGTTAGTTTTCTGATGAAGAGCAGTGTGAATGAAGTTACAGTACTGAGAATGAGGTTGCCAGGAGCTAACCTGGCTAGAATGGGACATCAAATCCAAATCATTGGAAAGTTCCACGTCCTTGGATTCCCTTTCATCTCCTGTCGAAAAAAATCAGGGGTTACCATTTTGTTGGGTTACCTTGAAGCCAGTGGATTTTGCACAGTGAAAGGCATATGCTTGTCCTCCTGCTGTTGCCCTAAAAGAAAGAGAGTCTTCCCTTAGATGGGACGGATTTCTGAAATACAGGTGAATGGCGTGTCCTTGGCTAAGTTCTGCCAAATTGGGAATTCAATTCTGCCACTTTTGGCACTTCAGGACTTCCTAGAGTTTGTTCTGTGAACAGCACCAGAACAATATTGTACAGGTCGACTTCACTCTTAAAGGTGACCATTTCTCCTTTGTGACCTGATTCCTTTTATCCACATACTTGTTAGCTTATTTCTCCTCTTAGGAGATGAACTTTGGCCTAAATCATTGATGAAAATAGACCCCAGCCTATATGCAGGGTCCTGAGAAACCCAGGGAAACCTTGACGAGAATCATGGAACCAGAGACTATTAGAACGTGGATCGTCTGAGCAAGAAGAGGGCTTAGCATATAGACCTTAGAATGTGGGAACTAGAAGGAACCTTTGCAGATGGAACCCAGAAAAGAGCTTAGAGATCATCTGGTTCAGAATGCAAGCCCCTCGCTTTACAGACAGGAAACTTACAGCCTTGGGCCTTACTTGCCGGTGATCACATAGCAAGTTAATGATGGATGTGGGGCTTGGACCCAGGATTTTTGATTCTAGGCAGAAAGCCATGGGGAAATGGTTATATTTTCCCTTCCCTTTTTGGCTAGTATTTATAGAGAGAATTCAAATGATCATTATTATAGAAGTCAGACAGATATGCTCAGCCCATAGGTAGTAGTAAAAGGAGGTCAGGAGGTTGACATTGGTAAGTGTGGGTGGAGCTAACATGCATTTTATAGGCTAAATAGAACTTTTGTGGTCAAGTGGTTTTTGGAAGGTCATCCTAAATTTTCCCCTACTCAGCCTACTAGCAGGTCTGATGGTCTTCTGAATTCAGAGGTACCTTGGCAGTAGGTGGAATGCTAGACCTGGAATCAAGATGATCTAAAATTAAATCTTGCTTGCCTTTTATTAGCTGTATGGCCCTGGACAAATTACTTAACTTCTCAGCCTTTGTTTCCTTACCTGTAAAATGAGAATAATAGTGAATTGGGCTAATAATGAGTTGATATATACATATATATATATATATGAAGTACTTTGCAAACCTTAAATTATTATACAAATATTAGTCTTTTTTGTTGTCCAATTTGGATTAACAGGACCACATCTCATAAAGAGTTCTGAACTTGGAGTTGGAAGCTTTGAGTTCAAATCCTGGCTCTATTATTTTCTTACCTTGTGACTTGTGTGAGTGATATGACCTCTTCAAGCCTCAGTTTTGTCATCTGTAAAATGGAGATGAAACACTTGCATTACCTACTCCAGGGGAATTATTGTGGGGAAAGTACCATAGAAATGTGAACTGCTTTGACAATTATTGGGAATTATCTATAGGTGTCACAGAATTATAGCATTTTGGAATTTGTCAGTGGTCACCTAATCCAAACCATACAAGAAAAACTATATCTCCTACAACATTTACAACATCTGCCTAAATACCTCCAGTGAAGGAAGAACCCATTTCTAGCCCCTTAAAGAAGCTCATTCAACTCTTGGCTCTTAGGACATTTTTCCTTACAATAGTGTGCTGTCACTATATTTTGTATGCTCTTCCGTACCTAGCACTCAAAAGGTGCTCTATTCCCCCTCCTGAAGGTTTCAGTCTTCTCCCTCTTTGTTCATGGTGCTTATGGGCTGGAACTTGTCCCCAGGTTCAGCCTGGACCATCCAGGGCAGTTTGGATTCAGGAACAAACTGATTGATATCAAGAGGTGGTCGTCTCTAGTCTAACCCTCATCCCTTTGTTGCTGCTGCTGCTGCTACTTACAGATTACGTGTATATCATGTTTAAGTAAATTAAATGCTTTCCTAACAATCACCTTGTGAGCGATAGATAGTGTAAACACTATGAATGCTGTTTCGCAGATGAAAGGATTGGTCTACAGTCCCACAGCTTGTACCACAACTGTTAGTGAGCAGCAGAACCATAATATGAACCTAGGTTTCCCCATTTGGTCCAGCACTCTTTCTATTATTCCATGGTAGCTAGAATAATATGACTGTAGGATTTTAGAATCAGAAGGGATCTTAGAGGTCATCTAGTCCAACCCCCTCATTTTACAGGAGAGGAAACCAAAATGCAGAGAGGTTAGATGGTAGCACCTAACAGAGCTGAGATTTCAACCTAGGTCTTCTCATTCCAAATTAAAGGCTTTTTTTTCTAATACACTAAGCTGCCCTTAGGTCTAGCCACTATCTTGTCCTTGATTCCACATTTTTGGGGACCTATCCTCCATATGTCTTCCCACATGCTCTACTTCCTATTGTCCTACCTAGATCTGGCACATGACTGGCAAGGGTCCAACTGGGTTGCACACAGAGTTGGAATTTCAGCAACAATGCCAAGGCTGAGCTCTACGTGGGGCCCCAGCCTTCAATATCACGTCAGCCTGAATGGTGCTAGGTGGAGCACGTTGTTTTCTTAACTACTCCACTCTCTTTTTTCTCCTTTCCACCTGTCACACTTCACTCACTCAAGCTATTTCATAGGCCTATGGGTCTGCTTTTTTTTCTCCCCCCCAATATGTTCACAATTTTACCTACATCAATAAATTCAACCAAATCTCAACTCCCTAGGCATACCAATCAAGATGAGTCATGGTGTCTCAACTGATCTCTTCATGGTGTAATAGAAAGAGCTAAGTCTAGGATTCAGAAAACCTGGGTTCAAATTTGAGTCCTACAATTTAATTAGCTGTGGAATTTGGAGCAAGCTACTCCCTTTCTCTTGCTTCTATTTCCTCTTCTGTAAAATTTAGGATTTGGAACTACATTCTTTCTAAGGTCCCTTCCTGCCCTGAGCTCTAAACTCAGTCTCCTCCAATCCCTTCTAGCTCTAAATAATATGATCTCTTTAAAAGAGATTACAAATTAAATCTAGCATCATATAATGTTTTTGACAGAAGGGTCCTTAGAACATAGAATGTGAAGGTTGGAAGGTCCTTTAGAACATAGAATGTGAAGGTTGGAAAGTATCTTAGAGCTTTTATTTTTTGCAGCAAGGGTTGGGCGTAAACCTGTTTTTGTCTATTCTACTCCTGGGTATTGCTGGGTGGTGACATTGCCTGGCCCCGAAGCTAAGCCTCTGAGGTAACTTCAGAGCTTCCAGGGCTCCTGGGACATCATCATCCACCATTCAGGTCAGGCTAGGGGTGCTTCCAGGCAGCCTGTGGCCACTTGTAAGAAGTCTCTGCATTGCCCTTATAATTTAATCAGGGGTAGAACCTGGACTAAAGAGAGGAATCTATTGGACCTCAGTTTCATGATCTGTAAGATGAAGGGGTTAGATTAGGTCCCAAATCTCCAGTCCCAAATCTTAACACCCCACAATCTTACAAATAGGATCTTGGCCAACACAGAAGAACTGTATAATTAATTTCAGATTC